AAAAATGGTTAAAATGGTAAACTTGGTGTTATATATCTTTACCACAAGAAAATAAAATATAGAAGGAATCATTTTAATATAAATGATACAGAAACTTTAACTTCTTGCCCACATTACATTTCTGATGTTGATAAAACAGTTAATATATATGTATCTTTGTGTAATTATATATATATATTTTTTTTTTTTTGGAACAGCAAAATAAGCACTTTGGGAATGTTCTCTACATGGTTTTTTTTTAATTTGAAAGTATCTAAGTGTCGTTTGTTGGGGAATTGATATTAGAAACCTTGGTATTATTGCAATGGCTTAAAAGTATATTCTGAGCCAGGGTCGTTAGTGCATGTCTGTAATCCCAGCTACTTGGGAGGTTCAGGCAGGAGTATTCCACAGTATCTAAGGCTAGCCTGGCTGCATAGTGAGACCCTTTCTCACAACAACAAGAAATAATACAGGTTCTAGAGTCATTATACCAACTGGGATCTAAGCCAGACCCCATTGTCTACTATACCTGTGTGTGTGGGCAAAGCACTTAACTGACCCTTTCCCTTGATTTATTCATCTGCATGAGTACTTTATTGTTTTTTACAAGAATAAGAGGTTAACACCTGTGAAGCATTTGGAACAGCTATTATTGCTGCTGGCAGTACTGGCACACCATATCATGATTATTTAGAGGCAATTAGAAAAGGATATATGTACATATTGTATATGTGTACAAGCTACATGTATGGGTGTGAAAAGTATCTATATATACCCATTTTAAATAAAATAATTGGTTACAGAAGAATATGTTTAACATAGTTATATTTATTAATTTTGGAATTATGGTATCTTTTACTATATCTGTTGAAATATTTTATAATGAACACATCAGACAAAAATGTAGTTCCATTTTGAAAAAAATCATGCTCTTGCTGATGTTGTTAAATTGTGCTTTTAATGTTTACAAAACAAGCCTTAGGAGAAAAAAATAATTTGAAAAAATTTATTACCTGTAACATGTAGAGTTCCATTTTTCAGTATCAATTTTACATTATTGTAATATTGTTAAAATAATGTTGTGGTATAAATTTAAAAGCACTAGACTGAGGTCATATTTGTTCCGTAGATTTCTTGCTTATAAACAAAGTGGAATTATGATTTTAAATGGTTTCCTTAAATAGGATTTGTTCTCTTTCACTTAGCCATTTAATATTGGTTGGTGTAATTGCTACTTCTTCTGTTAAAAGCAGACAGCTTTGTTACTCATATAGTTTGGTAAATTTGTGACTAATTTTTTTCCGTCAATCAGTTACATCACTACTTCTGTAAGTATACTAACTTTTACCTTTTTCTAGTTGTGGATCATATTCATACTGTAAAGAGAAAAACTTTGAAATACCATATCTGATCATATTTCTAGTAGGGTTAAGTTTTAATCTAGAGGGTCAATTAAGTCAATATTTTGCCGTTTCTTAGGCAACTTTTATAAAGAGAAGCTAAATAGTTTGTCTTCCTTTAACTGGGTATCTAGTTATAGGTCACAGCCTACCTACGAGTGTGAAGGTGACTTTAAACAGTGGCATATTCAGACAGCTTCACTGCTGACTAGTATTAACTGTCTTCAGAGGTATATAGAAACAGAGTTTGAAATGATATGGAATGGAAATGTGTTTGTGACTGCAAAGTTGATGGTTATGTGAGAAATGGCAAGTTTCCAAAATTTTATGAATGAACTTTTTTTGGCAATGGATATAGTGTTAAGAGTGAGGAAAGAAAAAAAAATGGCCATAGAAAAGTCAATGTCAAAGAAGTCCTTAATACAAATGTCGGCAACCATTGCATTAGTTAAAGTTTGTGGTCAGGTTGTCACTGTTTTGATAGAACACATTCTTTTTCCTTGTAGAAATGATGAGGAGTGATTACAAGATGTGTTGGTATTGCAAAACCGAGGTCCACTGTTTTCTTTTTCTGTTTTAACATTCCCCATTTTCAAACCCTTAGTTTTGATAGAAAACTGAGGAGTGACATATCCCAGTTGTAATAAATGCACTTTGAATTCAAAGGATTTATGTTTGACAATGAAGTCATGTTCTTGTTTTCATAAGAAAAAACCCAGCTTACTCTTAGTATTTAAACCATGATGCTTTAAAACTATGTCCTTTAAAAACTAAACAAAAATGAATCAAGTTAAGTTTTAAAAGGAAATCTGAATGTAAGTGGCACTTTACAATTCCCTTCTAAGGAGCATTATTGAGGAATAAAGGAGGTGGCTGAAACCCCTTCACAAGGAAAACTGTATTGTAAGAAATACATTCTTGTAAAGTTTTGACTGTGTCTATAGGACTGACTGCTGATGCTCGAGTAGTGATAAACAGAGCCCGAGTGGAGTGCCAGAGCCATAAGCTTACCGTCGAGGACCCAGTCACTGTAGAATATATAACTCGCTTCATAGCAACACTAAAGCAGGTAAGATAACATTCTAACACTTCTTCAAGCTTTCTCCTTTCCCATCTTTGTAGGTTCTGTCCTATAAATGCTATAATCATGCCAATCTGTCTATTAAATCGATTAAATTGCTCATTTATTCTCACAGTTACTTAATACTAACACTTATTCAGGTAGATTGCATTGATTTAATCACTGGAAATCTCAATAAATAAAAGAGCAGTAAAAAATATTTAAAAAATTAAAGATCAGTAGCCCAATCTTTTGAGGAAATTGCTACACTTTTGGAGATACAGTAATAACAACCATTCTGTAAAGTTTTCCGAAAAAATGCCCATTATTTCACCTGTCAACCCAAACACCCTGATTGGATTTGGATATGATTTCTTTTAAATATATGTGTAAATACATTATTCAAGATTAAGCATAATAATGATATATGCAAGTATTGTTTTTTACTTGTTTTCTGTGTACTTTATATATGACTTCATCTTTATAGTTATTCTCTTACTAACTATATTCTAATGTTTCTAATTGCTATTTGAAAATTTATGTTGTTTCCGTTTCTTTTATACGCATTCTCATTTTCCCTGCTACCCTAATAACATTAGTTTATCTTAGTCATGGCTTTTTTTTTTCTTTTTTAAAATTGTATTGTTCAATTAATTTTTAGTAAGGGGTTACTAGATTAGAGATTGTAATTGATTTTAAGTCTCTTGTTATATGTTCCAAATTATTTTTATTGCACAACTAGCAATCCCTGAAGAATCTTCAACATTGAATTTCTCATTTTTCTTTATTTTGCAAATAAGTATTATAGAGTACTGTAATAGTTGTTTTAACTTGTGTTTTTGATTAGTTAGATTAAAGTATTTCCACATGTTGATTTGCTATTTTCATTTCTCCTAGTGCAAGCTTCTTTTAACAAACAATTTAGTGCCCAAGAGAGTGCCTGCAAGAGCTAGAATTTGGGGATTTGATATTTGGCTGTTTTACTTCTTACTGTCTTTGGAAAAATAATTGAGCTTTTTCAGTTTTCTCATGCATAAAATGGACATTGCAGTCATACCTACTTTGTTCTCTGGCATAATGGATGATTTATTACATTTCAAGCACATAGAACACTTTTTGGCATGGCTGTTACCATGTACCTAAAGCAGATATTTTTCATAAATTCTTTGTATATTCTAGATACTAAAGTTTTGAATGATTGACTTATAACATAATTGCCCTGTTTTGGTTTTTTGTTTGTTTGTTTTGTTTTTCTTTTATTATTCATATGTGCATACAAGGCTTGGGTCATTTCTCCCCCCTGCCCCCACCCCCTCCCTTACCACCCACTCCGCCCCCTCCTTCTCCCCCCAACCCCCTCAATACCCAGCAGAAACTATTTTGCCCTTATTTCTAATTTTGTTGTAGAGAGAGTATAAGCAATAATAGGAAGGAACAAGGGTTTTTGCTGGTTGAGATAAGGATAGCTATACAGGGCATTGACTCACATTGATTTCCTGCACATGTGTGTTACCTTCTAGGTTAATTCTTTTTGATCTAACCTTTTCTCTAGTTCCTGGTCCCCTTTTCCTATTGCCCTCAGTTGCTTTTAAGGTATCTGCTTTAGTTTCTCTGCGTTAAGGGCAACAAATGCTAGCTAATTTTTTAGGTATCTTACCTATCCTCATTCCCTCCCTTGTGTGCTCTCGCTTTTATCATGTGCTCAAAGTCCAATCCCCTTGTTGTGTTTGCCCTTGATGTAATGTCCACATATGAGGGAGAACATACGATTTTTGGTCTTTTGGGCCAGGCTAACCTCACTCAGAATGATGTTCTCCAATTCCATCCATTTACCGGCGAATGATAACATTTCGTTCTTCTTCATGGCTGCATAAAATTCCATTGTGTATAGATACCACATTTTCTTAATCCATTCGTCAGTGGTGGGGCATCTTGGCTGTTTCCATAACTTGGCTATTGTGAATAGTGCCGCAATAAACATGGATGTGCAGGTGCCTCTGGAGTAACCTGTGTCACAGTCTTTTGGGTATATCCCCAAGAGTGGTATTGCTGGATCAAATGGTAGATCAATGTCTAGCTTTTTAAGTAGCCTCCAAATTTTTTTCCAGAGTGGTTGTACTAGTCTACATTCCCACCAACAGTGTAAGAGGGTTCCTTTTTCCCCGCATCCTCGCCAACACCTGTTGTTGGTGGTGTTGCTGATGATGGCTATTCTAACAGGGGTGAGGTGGAATCTTAGCGTGGTTTTAATTTGCATTTCCTTTATTGCTAGAGATGGTGAGCATTTTTTCATGTGTTTTTTGGCCATTTGAATTTCTTCTTTTGAGAAAGTTCTGTTTAGTTCACTTGCCCATTTCTTTATTGGTTCATTAGTTTTGGGAGAATTTAGTTTTTTAAGTTCCCTGTATATTCTGGTTATCAGTCCTTTGTCTGATGTATAGTTGGCAAATATTTTCTCCCACTCTGTGGGTGTTCTCTTCAGTTTAGAGACCATTTCTTTTGATGAACAGAAGCTTTTTAGTTTTATGAGGTCCCATTTATCTATGCTATCTCTTAGTTGCTGTGCTGCTGGGGTTTTGTTGAGAAAGTTCTTACCTATACCTACTAACTCCAGAGTATTTCCTACTCTTTCCTGTATCAACTTTAGAGTTTGTGGTCTGATATTAAGATCCTTGATCCATTTTGAGTTAATCTTGGTATAGGGTGATATACATGGATCTAGTTTCAGTTTTTTGCAGACTGCTAACCAGTTTTCCCAGCAGTTTTTGTTGAAGAGGCTGCTATTTCTCCATCGTATACTTTTAGCTCCTTTGTCAAAGATAAGTTGCTTATAGTTGTGTGGCTTCATAACTGGATCCTCTATTTTGTTCCACTGGTCTTCATATCTGTTTTTGTGCCAGTACCATGCTGTTTTTATTGTTATTGCTTTGTAATATAGTTTGAAGTCAGGTATCGTGATACCTCCTGCATTGTTCTTTTGACTGAGTATTGCCTTGGCTATTCATGGCCTCTTGTGTTTCCATATAAATTTAACAGTAGATTTTTCAATCTCTTTAATGAATGTCATTGGAATTTTGATGGGAATTGCATTAAACATGTAGATTACTTTGGGGAGTATCGACATTTTTACTATGTTGATTCTACCAATCCATGAGCATGGGAGATCTCTCCACTTTCTATAGTCTTCCTCAATCTCTTTCTTCAGAAGTGTATAGTTTTCCTTGTAGAGGTCTTTCACATCTTTTGTTAGGTTTACACCTAGGTATTTGATTTTGTTTGAGGCTATTGTAAATGGAATTGTTTTCATACATTCTTTTTCAGTTTGCTCATTGTTAGTGTATAGAAATGCTAATGATTTTTCTATGTTGATTTTATATCCTGCTACCTTGCTATAGCTATTGATGATGTCTAGAAGCTTCTGAGTAGAGTTTTTTGGGTCTTTAAGGTATAGGATCATGTCGTCTGCAAATAGGGATATTTTGACAGTTTCTTTACCTATTTGTATTCCTTTTATTCCTTCTTCTTGCCTCATTGCTCTGGCTAGGATTTCCAGTACTATGTTGAATAGGAGTGGAGATAGTGGGCATCCTTGTCTGGTTCCTGATTTTAGAGGGAATGGTTTCAGTTTTTCTCCGTTAAGTATAATGCTGGCTGTAGGTTTGTCATATATAGCTTTTATAATGTTGAGGTACTTTCCTTCTATTCCTAGTTTTCTTAGAGCTTTTATCATGAAATGATGTTGGATCTTATCAAAGGCTTTTTCTGCATCTATTGAGATGATCAAGTGGTTTTTGTCTTTGCTTCTGTTAATGTGGTTTATTACGTTTATTGATTTTTGTATGTTGAACCACCCCTGCATCTCTGGTCATGGTGAATAATCTTTTTGATGTGTTGTTGAATTTGGTTTGGCATTATTTTGTTGAGGATTTTTGCATCAATGTTCATTAAGGAGATTGTCCTATAGTGCTCCTTTTTGGAGGTGTCTTTGCCTGGTTTTGGGATAAGTGTAATACTAAGCAGATATTTTTCATAAATTCTTTGTATATTCTAGATACTAAAGTTTTGATTGATTGACTTGTAACATAATTGCCCTGTTTTGGTTTTTTAAAAATTTGTTAATTCATATTGAAAAAAAAATCCCACATTTTAAAAAATTATGCTACTCATTTGTTTGATTTACTTTCATTTTCCCAGTTGCTAAAAAGGCATCCAACAAAAATGAAGGCACAAAATAGTATACACACACTGGTTTCCATTTGTGGTTTTGAAGATTTCTTCTACAAATGTCAAGGCTATTCCTAAAACATTTATGGAAACATAGTTGTAAGTCTGTAACTGTGAGATTGCCACTGGAGAGCCTAGGGACTCTGAGACAGAAGATAGATACCTCTTTTGTGCCTTTTGTACTTTTAAATTATTTTAACACTATGCATGTATTGCTTTCTCTTTTAATAAAATGACTTATAAGCAAATAGAGAGATTTTTCCTTTAACGGATATTTACAAAGCATGTACTTCTGCTTTATACCTCCATGTGACCTGGAATCATTAGGAAGTACAGAGGAATTAAGATAAACCCTATTTTTAAGAGTGTTTTTACATTCATAACCCAATTGCTTTCAGATTTTGAAGTGGCTTGTAAAAATTCATATAATACAATAAAATTGAAAAATAAGAAAATAGATCCCATAAATAGATAAGACCTGGAAGAAAGCTACTATAAAGCTACTTCAAGCCACAGAGTTATATACAGCAACAACAGGTATGCAGTTAAATAAAATTGCCTATGTCTTTAGTTCATAGCTTTCTGTCAGGGCTGTTTGTTTGTATGACTTTTAGGAGTACCAATCTCAGTGTGAAGTCTACTCCTTGGAGCACAAATCCAGGAAGTTCCATGTCACTAAAGTGATAAAAAAGATATAGTTGGTTTCCAGGGCCCCATTGTCTGTGAGATTATAATTTTTTTTTTTGTGCTACTGGGGTTTGAATTCAGGGCCGCACACTTGCTAGGCAAGTGCTGTACCATTTGAGCCACTCCACCAGCCCCTCAAAAGTATTTTTTAAAAAGAGAAACACAGAATCCCTTTTCATGGCACTAAAGGAAATGTTTCGTTTGGATTTTTATGTAGAGATAATAAGGATATAGTAAACAGAGTATTTGATCATAATAGTATCAAGTAAGAATACTTAATAATAATAGTAACAATTGTTATGTTCCTCAAGCTAAAACAAGGACGTGTTTCCACACTACAGTTTGTTAAGATAGGCTTTACTGAGAACCAAAATGGTATGTAAAAATCCACATTCTTTATATTAGAGAGAGTATAATATAGTTGTTACTAAAATGCACACAAAGCAATAAAAACACATTTTAAAATCATGAATTTTTAAAATTTTTCCAATTAAATACATTACTTTCTTAAACTTTTCATTGCTAATTGAAATTAGTCCAGAGAGAATCCTAAAAATCTGCAGAATAACAATTAGGCTTGGGAGGTAGAAGTAGGAGGATCACAATTGGAGGTCAACTGGATAAAGTTAGTGTCATACCCTACTGGAAAACAAATAAAAAAAGCAAAAGGACTGGGGCTGTGCCTCAAGTATAAGGAACAAATGTAAGTACAAGTGTAAGTATAAATCCTCAGGACTGCAAAAAAAAAAAAAAAAACAAAACCAAAAAAAAACAAAAAAAACAAGAACAGCAAAAGAAAAAAAGCGGAATATAGATCAATTTGAAAATAATGCTTTATTTATTATTAGAGTTTTTATTTGATAGGTAATAGTGTTATCCTAAAAATACATTTTGTTTTTTAGAAATATACCCAAAGCAATGGACGAAGACCTTTTGGTATTTCTGCCTTAATTGTAGGTTTCGATGATGATGGTATCCCAAGATTGTATCAGACAGATCCTTCTGGTACTTATCATGCTTGGAAAGTGAGTAATGAATTTGTTAATATATTTTAGAAGTTGAATAAATATATTCATCATAAATGCTCTATTGCTTTTAAGAACCTGATAAAATTGTGTTGCATTAAAATATTTATGTTGACACAAAAACTTTATAAATATAGTCATTTAATTAGTCAGAAATGTAATGATTTTAGATTGTGAAACACCTGGTTTATTAATTACAGGATATTTTCCTTACTTTTAAAAAGATGTGACAAATGATTCTATATTGGCCAAGAGAAATACTATCTACTTCCTATCCATTATTCTTTTTTCCAAATTACTGTTCCATTGTATAGATGCTTGCTTTCAGTAGAAGTAGTATTTTTGCTTTTTTTTTGGCAGTTCTGGGTTGAACTCAGGACCTCACACTTGGTAAGCAGGCACTCTACCACTTTAGCCACTCCTCCATAACCCCAGTATTTTTGCTTTTAATAAAAATTAGATGGGCATTTAAATCCCATACTGAATATTCAATGTATCTTCTATCCTAGGAGAGTCAGAGCATCCCAAATTATGGTATATATAATTTATACATAATATAATATACAAAATATATTATATATATATATTTTGGCTTAATGAGGAAATTAACTTTTAATAAAAACACAGTCAACAGCATTTTATTTGGGCACTTACTCGGTATTTCACAGATCCTCAAGCTTTGAGGTGGGTTACATATTAGCATTATATTTTACAAATGAAAATTCAAGCAGATGTTATGTCACTTGTCATAAACCACAGGAGTCCTATCATGATCAGGAATAACATGATCTTTCAGATTAGTCTTATCTGATATTGGAATTTAATGGTAATAGCTTGCAAATATTCATGAAAAAACAAGACTAGATAATAGAAATTTTACTTTGGGATATTTTAAAAAATTCTTAAATTGATCTTATAATGAGTTATACACATTGCAGAATAATCTACTTGCTCTCATTATAAATATATTTATATATAATTGAACCATAAAATTAGAAATGAGCAAAGTACTGAGTTTGTCTCTGCTCTGCCTTTTGAGGTAGGTGAACCAGGACAATGAGCCATTAAGTGCAGATGCTGTGTTCAAGGCACCCTCTACTATAATTTGGAATCTCAGGAAAATAGGTATACTAATGTATCCAAGACCTAAAAAAGATGCATGGATCCAAAAGATGGTAGGCTTTGTGCAAATCAAAGGCAAAGAGAAAAATAGTAGCTCAGGTTACTGATCCTTATCATACTACAGCATTACAACTTGGAAAAGAGCTCTAAGAAGATGGTAAGTTTGTCCGGATAAAGTCTGGTAAAGTTCTAACTAGATAAACTACAAGTACAAATAAATTATTTTATTAAAATGACATCAATAGAAGGATATCCTGAATGTTTTTAAAAATATGAATGTTTTACCTGTATGTACATTACTTTAATTGTCTCAAGCCTAATTCTCTTAGCTCAACATAATTATTTACCAGAATTCTGCTTATCCTGATATAGTTTCCTGGGCCAGTCTTCTCAATTATTTGGTTCATTATAAAGTTCCTTTAGGGACAGTGGTGTAGCTCATTGCAGAATGCTTGCCTTGCTGTGAGAGGCCCTGTTTGATTCCCGACTCTGAAAAATCTCAAAAGTATTTTTATTTAAATAACTGTCAATATTAGTAATAATTAAATGTGGTTAACTGAGCAGCTAGAAAGAAAACACCATTACTGTGTTGTAAAACACAATGTCCAACAGAGCAAATTTAAAGAGTGAAGACATGGACACATGCTTCCCCATAAACTGAACTGCCCAATACCATGAGTCAAAGAAGACAGAAAAAAAAATTGAAAAAAAAAGATTGGTGGGAGGAGAAGCAGAAAATGCAAGCCTTGGGGGGAGATCTTCTGGGCACTGAATGAAAATAACTTCAACCCCAGGATACTCTACCCAGCAAAACTGTCATTCAAAATAGATGGAGCAATAAAAGTCTTCCATGATAAGCAGAAACTAAAACAATATGTGACCACAAAGCCACCACTACAAAAGATTTTTCAAGGGATTCTGCACACAGAAAGTGAAACCCAACATAACCATGAAAGGACAGGCAGCACCAAATTACAGGAAAAGAAAAAGCAAGAAAGTAGAGAGTAACCTCAACTTAGGTATACGCAATCACACCTTCAAACAACTAAGACAACTAAATGACAGGAATCACCACAAACCTATCAGTACTAACACTTAATGTTAACAGACTTCATTCACCTATCAAAAAGGCACCGTTTGACAAAAATGGATTAAAAAGGAAGACCCAACAATTTGCTGCTTACAAGAGACCCATCTCACTGACAGAAATAAGCATAGGCTTAGGATGAAAGGCTGGAAGAAGATTTACCAAGCCAATGGCCCCGAAAACAGGCAGGAGTAGCAAAATACTTATCACTGACAAACTAGACTTCAAGCTTACATTGATCAAACGAGATAAAGAAGGACTTTCCATATTAATAAAAGGGGAAATAGACCAAAAGTAAATAACAATTATCAACCTATATGCACCCAATGTCAACGCACCCAATTTCATCAAACATACCCTGAAAGACCTAAAAGCATATATTAACTCCAACACAGTGGTTGTGGGAGATTTTAACACCCCATTATCATCAGTAGATAGGTCATCCAAACAAAAAAATCAATAAAGAAATCCAATATCTAAAATATACAATAGATCAAATGGACCTACTTGATGTCTACAGAACATTTCATCCAACTTCTACACAATATACATTCTTCTCAGCAGCCCATGGAACCTTCTCCAAAATAGATCATATCCTAGGGAACAAAGCAAGCCTCAGCAAATATAAGAAAATAGAAATTATACCATGCATACTATCTGATCACAATGCAGTAAAAGTAGAACTCAACAACAAAAGTAAAGACAAAAAACATGCAAACAGCTGGAAACTGAATAACTCATTACTTAATGAACAATGGGTCACTGATGAAATAAAAGAGGAAATTAAAAAGTTCGTAGAAGTCAATGAAAATGAAAACACACCTACCGGAACCTATGGGACACAGCAAAGGCAGTCCTGAGAGGAAAGTTTATAGCCATGAGTGCATATATTAAAAAGACTGAAAGATCCCAAATCAATGACCTAATGATACATCTCAAACTCCTAGAAAAACAAGAACAAGCAAATCCCAAAACAAGTAGGAGAGAAATAATAAAAATAAGAGCTGAAATCAACAAAATAGAAACCAAAAAAACCACACAAAGAATTGGTGAAACAAAAAGTTGGTTCTTTGAAAAAATAAACAAGATCGACAGACCCCTGGCAACCTGACTAAAATGAGGAGAGAAAAAACCCAAATTAGTAGAATCAGGAATGCAAAAGGGGAGATAACAACAAAGACCATGGAAGTCCAGGAAATCATCAGAGATTACTTTGAGAACCTATATCAAATAAATTTGAAAATCGTAAAGAAATGGACAGATTTCTAGATACATATGATCATCCAAAACTGAACCAAGAGAATATTAATCACCTGACTAGATCTATAACACAAAATGAAATTGAAGCAGCAATCAAGAGTCTCCCCAAAAAGAAAAGTCCAGGACCCGATGGATTCTCTGCTGAATTCTATCAGACCTTTAAAGAACAACTGATTCCAACCCTCCTTAAACTGTTGCATGAAATATAAAGGGAAGGAAAACTGCCTAACACATTTTATGAATCCAGTATTACACTTATCCCAAAACCAGGCAAAGACACCTCCAAAAAGGAGAACTATAGGCCAATCTCCTCAATGAACATTGATGCAAAAATCCTCAACAAAATAATGCCAAACCGAATTCAACAACACATCAAAAAGATTGTTCACCACGACCAAGTAGGCTTCATCCCAGGGATGCAGGGGTGGTTCAACATACGAAAATCAATAAACGTAATAAACCACATTAACAGAAGCAAAGACAAAAACCACTTGATCATCTCAATAGATGCAGAAAAAGCCTTTGATAAGATCCAACATCATTTCATGATAAAAGCTCTAAGAAAACTAGGAATAGAAGGAAAAGTACCTCAACATTATAAAAGCTATATATGACAAACCTACAGCCAGCATTATACTTAACGGAGAAAAACTGAAACCATTCCCTCTAAAATCAGGAACCAGACAAGGATGCCCACTATCTCCACTCCTATTCAACATAGTACTGGAAATCCTAGCCAGAGCAATGAGGCAAGAAGAAGGAATAAAAGGAATACAAATAGGTAAAGAAACTGTCAAAATATCCCTATTTGCAGACGACATGATCCTATACCTTAAAGACCCAAAAAACTCTACTCAGAAGCTTCTAGACATCATCAATAGCTATAGCAAGGTAGCAGGATATAAAATCAACATAGAAAAATCATTAGCATTTCCATAGACTAACAACGAGCAAACTGAAGAAGAATGTATGAAAACAATTCCATTTACAATAGCCTCAAAAAAAATCAAATACCTAGGTGTATACCTAACAAAGGATGTGAACAACCTTTACAAGGAAAACTATAAACTTTTGAAGAAAGAGATTGAGGAAGACTATAGAAAGTGGAGAGATCTCCCATGCTCATGGATTGATAGACTCAACATAGTAAAAACGTCTATTCTACCAAAAGTAATCTACATGTTTAATGCAATTCCCATCAAAATTCCAATGACATTCATTAAAGAGATTGAAAAATCTACTGTTAAATTTATATGGAAACACAAGAGGCCACGAATAGCCAAGGCAATACTCAGTCAAAAGAACAATGCAGGAGGTATCACAATACCTGACTTCAAACTATATTACAAAGCAATAACAATAAAAACAGCATGGTACTGGCACAAAAACAGACATGAAGACCAGTGGAACAGAATAGAGGACCCAGATATGAAGCCACACAACTATAACCAACTTGTCTTTGACAAAGGCGCTAAAAATATATGATGGGGAAAAGCTAGCCTCTTCAACAAAAACTGCTGGGAAAACTGGT